TCGAGAAGTCATAATTCCTAACGCAGGCTTGACCATCCAAATATCATGAATTGGAAGGGGTAATCATATCTCGGTTTTCAAGTATTGTATATCTTATATTTGAGTACAGGGAGCATGATCTTGCTAGCCTATCTTTTTCTCCTAATGTCAAGTTTAGTGAGGCACAGGTTTGTTTTGTATCTTATGATAAGTTTGAAATTAAACCATAGATTTTGGTTGTAGTTGACAGGCAAAGCATAATATTATGTTATTTGGTCATGATATGATCTTTTCTTCAATTCTTGGATGTTTGAGTTCAGTTTTAGGTTCACCTTCATGTATAGGTCAAGTGCTATACAAAGCAGCTATTATTGGGCTTGAGTATTGCCATCTGCAAGGTATAATGCATTGAGATATTAAAGCATCTAACATTTTGGTAAATAATCAAGGAATTTTGAAATTAGGGGACTTTAGATTGGCAAACATCCTTACTTCAAGGAACACGCAATGATTAACAAGTCGAGTATTAACTCTATGGTATTACCCTCCTGAACTTTTGATGGGATCAACAAGTTATGAAGTCTCAGTGGATCTGTGGAGTTTAGGCTGTGTTTTTGCATAACTTCTTATGGGAAAGCCTATCCTTAAAGGGAGAATTGAGGTGATTGTGTTGTCATGTTGTATTATCTTTTATATTATTCAAATTATTATTTTTTTATCCAAGGAAACCGCAAGTCCAAAGATAAAGAAAGAATTATAGGTATTGGAATTTGAATCAGATATGCTAAATGTCACCTTTAAAGGAAACTGCATAAATCAACTAAGTTAAGTTCAACATTTATAGTATGTGAATTATTTGACATTGCATTATATCAGGTAGTTGAAGTAGATTGTCTTACACTTATTATGCTGACTATTCAGATAAGCAGTGAAACAGAAATTCATATAGGTTTTCATTGTTTATTGATTGTCTTACACTTATATTTACTTCTTAGACGGCTAAAGTAGATTGGTTTCTCCCCCATTTGGCAGGTTGAACAACTGCATAAAATCTTTAAGGTATGTGGCTCCCCACCTAGATTATTTGGAAAAGATTTAGGCTTCCTTACTCAACCATTTAAAACCTCAGCATACTTATGAAGTTCTCTTGGAAAGTGTAAAGATATAACAAAGTACACGAAAATCAAATAAAAAACACTTATGTGGATGCTCATTGTACAACTTATCTTAATGACATGCAATATATTTTTTAAATTTTAATTGTTTTAATCAAATAATTTTTTTCAATCAATTATTTAATTTTCAAATACTTTTAAAATTAAAAAAAATTAAACTTAAAAATTGTTTAAGTTCACAATAAAAATATTTCACAAATCACTATTTCCTATGGAAGATAATGGTAAAGATGCATTCGAATATTAGTAACTATTTTGCTTCTTTTTTTAATAATTTAAAATACAAAGATTATTCTCTCTCAATTTAAAAATCACAAAAATCTATTAAATTAAAAATTAAACAAATCTATTTTATTTTATCACTTATAATTTATTAACAGATCACAAACATTAAGAAATTTAAAACTAAACAAAAAATCTCTCATTTCTAATGAAAAATTATAAACAATTATAATTTCCTCGTTGAAAGAGAAATGTCCCAGCTTTCTAAGATGCTTGTATTTTTATATTGTTAACAATAAACCTTTTAAGGTAAATATATAAATTCACAATTATCAAATCTCTTCTTTAGTATATTAGACAACATTTCTTTATTGTTTTCTTTGATCATATGAAAATCATGTTACATTTTTTTTTGCTACATTGGTCTTGAATTGTGAATATTTATGCTTGAAGTGATACAAAATTGATAAATCATGAATCATGCTAATTTTTTGGACAAATGAAATTTTTTAAGTTTTTATTTAACATATTTGTGTTAGCTTTATATTAAATTAAAATTGGACAACAAAATGAATGAAAGAGCATATAGTAATACCTATTACTACTACTATATTTTATATTTAATAATTGATTTTTAATTAACTTTATATTTTTTCATAATTATCCCATTTTTTACAAATCAACTCAAGATATGTTATAACCTAATTGCTATATTTAATTTATATATACTTTAAACATGTAAATTAAATAATATTAATTCGTGTATCTATACACATTTAAATAAATAAAATAATATTTTATTGTTATTGCAATTTATTTTTTCAATTTGTATCTTTCTTTTTTCAAGGTATATTCTATTACTTTTATAAGTTTATTCTTATGAAATTAATTTTTTTTCAAATTTTTTCTTTTTTATTTTCACATATCTCTTAACATTTTTCATATTTTGTATAGTAATTTGAACAAATTATAAAATGAAAATATTCTTATAATTTTTTTATTATTTAATTCATCATTTGATAATATATTATATATATATATATATGTTTTTGTTCTTTTAAGAAAGACATATAATTTATTTTTATTTGATATAAAATTCAAAATGTATAAATATTATTGCAAATAAAAAATGGTGTAAGGTGACAAATATGTCCCTTTTTTACTTTTAAAAAAATTTATTTTTTTATGACAAGTTAGTCTAATTTAAAATTTTATATATGTTATAAATTTTTTAAATTTAAATATAATTTTAAAAAATTAATTTATATATATTTATACATAAAATAAATAAAATTATTTCGTGTATCACATGAGTCACAATTTAGTTTTAAAATAAAACAGAATTCTACTTGTATTAAATTGCTTCTTGTTCTCTACTTGTATTAAACTGCTTCTTGATATATATTTTTTATTCACATAACTTAGAGCATATGAAGCAAGAAACTTTCTTCTCAATTTTTAATTCTCCTGTAATACAATATAAGTTGAAATGTTGTACAATTAGTTAAGATCTATAACTAACATAAAAATTATCTCCGAAGGAGGCAATTGGTTGAGATGTGTCAGCCAATTGCTTCTATATGGAGACGAATTTTAATTTTCTTTTCTTTTTTTAATCGCTTAAGGGATTCAATGAATGACAAAATTTGTTCATTTGTGAAAATTATTTTGGAATTTGCATAAAGGGTTGAAAAAAATAAAGAAAGGAGAGAAGAATCAAGAAGAAAAAAAGAGTGGAAATTTTTTTTAAATAAAAACTAAATTAGGGAGAGAAAAAGCGAGGGAAGAAACAAGAGACAAAAAAGGAGAGAGATAGAATATTCGAGCATGTTTAAGGTGGTTTTCGGCCGTACTAACGCTGATCCAGCCTCAACTTACCGATACGGTAATTGTTTTTAGTTTTTTTTAAAAAAACATTTTTTAAAATTTTATAATAAATTTGATCGTAATTAACTGTTTACAGTCAGACCAACACCGGATGCGGTGTCAAGTTGATGGATTCTTACCTATGAAATTCAACTTTGCAAAAAAAAAAAAGAAAGAAACTTCTTGTGGATGGAATTTGTCCAAGATGTGAAGAGGCAGGGGAATCGGTGTTGCATGCAATATTCGATTGCCCTGTTTTGACTGAAGCATGGAACAGATTGGGTTCTGCGTGGGACGTGACAGTCAGTATAAAGCGTACTCAGCCGAAATGAGAAGTTGAAGCTTGAGTTTTATTCAAAGTTTGGTTTGACTTTAGTTGGATTTTAACTTTTAAATTTAAATTTAATTTGAGATAAAAATTAAATTTTTTGAATTTGTTTTATTAGATTCATTTATCAAATAAAAAAATTTGATTTCATGTTTTATTTTAAATTTAATTATTTATATTTTAATTTAAATTTAAATTGATATATAAAAATAAAATATTAATATTTTCATTAAAATAATAAAAATATATAAAATATAAAATTTTGATTAAATTTACGATTTATTAAATCAAATATTAAAATATTTAAATTTAACTCAATAGTAATTAAATCAAAATTTAAAATTTATTTAATCAATTTTAAATAACTTACTGAATATGAACGTGAATGTATCATTTACTGGCTAAGTAGCAGTGCTCTCCTAATTAAAGTAGCAGATTGGATACGCCGAGTGGCAGAACAAGTCGAGCAGGAAAGGTTCAATGTTATTCTAACAGCTGCACGGGCTATTTGGTATAATATAAATGATGAAGTCCCCGTCAAACAGCCAACTTTGTCGGATCTTTATCTGGATGAATTTTTGAAAGCTCAAGCTAACAGGAGGCAATTCCATTTCATAGATATTTTATTCTTTATTTTGTTAAATACAATTTATAAAAAAATAAATAATAAATAATAACAAAAAAAAAAAAAACAAAGCAAACCAGCATTCAAAAACCGACCATAGTCACCGACCAAATTCAGCTGTAAATGCTGTATCCTACAGTCCACCTAAAAATGACGATAATAATTAAGAAAAGAAAAACCTCAAATAAAGAATAACAAAAATTCCAATGTGCTTTTGCTTTTAAACGTTAGGGGAGAGGAAAGAGAAATTTGAAAACTCTTTAAGACTTACTATTTTCTGTAGTTTGTTTTGTTCAAACTATTTAGAGATCCCATTGTTTCTGAGCCAACTATATTTTTCTTATTGGTGTGCAGAGGCCATGGTTTGGGAGTCAAAGCCCCGTCCGCCGACGACTTCATTTTTTTTGTTTTATTAATTAAATAAATGAAACCGTGTACTTTGTATTTTATTCGTTCCTTGTCCTATCGTGTTGTTTCGTGAGAGGAAAAGGAGTGAAAGGCGTGTAAGAAAAAATTATTATTTTTTTCCAAAAATAATGTTTCAACTTAAATTATTATTATTTTTTATATTTTTCACCGTTCGCACCAATCAAATCAAAATGAAAGAAAAATATTTGTCCTTTGCATGTTTATTTCATTTTCTTTTATTTTTCTTCTTTATCAAATATGGTTTATTATATATTGTATACGAGGTGAAATCATGTCAAATTTTACTAATGTCTTCCAAATATGTCGGTTTAGACCTTTTTCTAATAGTAAAAATGTATATGCAAATCCAAAATTTCAACGTCAATTTCAGCGACTAGCCAAAAAAAGAGATAGAATGATTGAGAAAAATTATAAATCCAGCTTGGTAGATCGAAACAGGGAACGAACGTGGATATTTGTTCATAGAAATTACATGGGTAGTAGCAGTTGATTTCGATGGGCTTCTAGTTGACACCCACAGCCAATAAAAAAAAAACTAGTATATAAATAACCGCTTCTGCCTTCCTTCCCTGTCATTCTTCTTATTTTTTCCATTCTTTCTCCCGTCATAAGCTACAACAACATTAAAAACAGCCATTAATCATTTTTTCTAGGTGGGAAATGGAGTTAGAGCAACCCATGTTTAGAGAAACAACTGAAGCCCCGAAATTGAACGCAGCAAATGATAGTAAGACTTCAACCAGTAGTGACAGGGATACGTCACCAGAATCAACATGCTGTTCCTATGTTTCCAGCAAACTCTGTCAAGGTTCGGAGTCATTCAGGACTCTAGAGATGGGTGTGCCAAAGGTTGGCTCCACCGAGAAAAAGCTGTCTTGGCTACGATCTCAAATCATTGGTGGTGATGCAGAATTTGACTCTCCTTTTGGAACTAGAAAACTTACTTATGCTGATCATACTTCATCGGCTCGCTCTCTTCACTATATCGAAAACTTCATCGTCACCAATGTTCTGCCATTCTATGGTAAAGGTTTTTTGTTTCTGATCTTCAATTGTGGTACTCTGACTTAATCAACAAAAATGATGTGCCATTTTCTAGTATAATTTTTTTTTTTTTGGGGGGGGGGGGGATGGTTTTCTAGTATTTGTCAGCTGATCTTGCTTCGTTCTTGCGTAGGGAACACTCACACGTGTGACAGTTTTGTGGGGTACAGAACGACGAAAATGGTGCATGAAGCATCAAACTACATTAAAAGATGTCTAGGTGGTGGCCAAGATGATGCAATTCTGTTTTGTGGCTCAGGCACTACGGCTGCTATTAAAAGGCTACAAGAAGTTATGGGGATTACGGTACCATCAATTTTGAGGGACGGGGTAATAAATTGCTTAATCAATGAGAGTAGATGGGTAGTTTTTATTGGCCCCTACGAGCACCATTCCAACTTGCTTTCTTGGCGTCAAAGCCTTGCTGAAGTTGTGGAGATTGGTTTAGATGAGAATGGGTTGATGGACATTGATGCACTAAGACAACAGCTTGAGTTGTATAAACACGCCAATAGGCCTTTGCTTGGTTCATTTTCAGCTTGTAGTAATGTGACTGGGATTCAACCAGATACTCGAGAGATTGCCAAACTTCTTCACGAGTATGGAGGTTTTGTTTGCTTTGATTTTGCAGCAAGGTACACAATAAGAATTTGCTTTTATTGTTGCCAAATTTTTAAATTTGAGATTGGCAGAATTTAAATTCTAATCATTAAAATTAAAATTTTAATATTTTAATTTTAGATGACGCAACTATTAACCAAGTTTCTATATTGTGTTAATGTTAAAACCATGAGAAGTTTCATTTTTTATTGTGCTTATCATTTTGTTTCCGTGGATAGTGGTCCATATGTGGAGATTGATATGAGGTCAGGGGAGATTGATGGATATGATGCTATTTTCCTTAGTCCACATAAGTTTTTAGGTGGCCCTGGATCACCCGGCATCCTTCTAATGAGCAACGCTCTCTATCAGTTAGGATCTTCTCCTCCATCAACTTGTGGAGGTGGAACTGTTAATTATGTCAATGGTTTCAATGAACAGGTAATTACTCTCGAATTTATTTTCAATGTAAAATTTTAGAATGGATATTTAATTTTAAATTAATCCATTTAATTTAAAATTAATTGATAATAAATGAAGAGATTTTTATTATATTTATGTGTTCAGATTAATTCAATTTAATAGATGAAAGATTTTATTTTTTGTTAACTTCTCTACTATAAAATGGAAAATTGTCTATGCTTTATCATTTTTTTTTTTTTGTTCTTGGTTATATCTCCCATTTTGTAAGAAATTTGGTTTCCTTCTTCAACTGAAGACATAAAGAATGATTTGGTAGGTAGCTGTTGGGCTTCTTGGAGTCTAGAAATAAATTCCTGATTCAGATTAAGCTGGTTTAAATCTCCACTAGTGAGTCTTTAAAAAATATTTATTTTAATTACAATTTTAGAAGAAGAGCGATTTCCGACCAAATTTCTTAGTAGACATATACTTGTTATTACACGTGTTTGGTAAGGAATACAGGCATTAACTGCACAACAGGGTAAATGGAACCATACTCCAGAGAATGATAAGTTATCCTGATATCGGTCAGGCTCATTCCCTTGCATTTAGAGACGCAGGTATGCAATTTAATATGTGGTAAAATGGGAATTTTATTTTGCAGGACACATTATATGCAGGTGACATAGAAGAAAGGGAAAATGGAGGGACTCCTCAAATAATTCAGATTATTAGAGCAGCATTGGCTTTTTGGGTAAAAGAATATATTGGTTATGAAGTGATTGCAAAGCAGGAGAAGTCGTACATAAATCAAGCATTGGAGAGGCTTCTCCCAAACCAAAACATATGGGTTTTAGGAAATGCAAGCACCGAGACCCAAAGACAAGCCATACTGTCTTTCCTCGTCTACTCCACAACCAACGATGGTAATAATGTTGACCAGGCAGAGGAAAAGGGGAGGGGACTTTTCATGTGGGGAGAGACTGGGAACAAGAGGGATAAACCTCTCCATGGCCCTTTTGTTGCAACCCTCCTAAATGATCTGTTTGGCATCCAAGCTCGGGGTGGATGTGCTTGTGCTGGACCTTATGGCCACAGTTTACTTGATATTGATCAGACTCGATCCCTTGCCTTAAGAGAAGCTATTAACAGGGTATCAGTACAAAATTTTCCTTTTTTTTGGGACCAAATGAAAGAAAGATAAAATATAATTCAACTTATCTAATGCCAATTGCAAAGTTTGATTGCAGGGCTACACAGGAGTAAAACCTGGATGGACAAGAGTCAGCTTTCCTTACTACATGTCAAATGAGGAGTTTGAATACATTCTTGCGGCAATGGAGTTCGTAGCCATATATGGCCAACGATTTCTTCCCCTATACCATTTCAACCTGAGAACTGGCAGCTGGACTTTCAAGAAGAAGGCGCTTAAGGACCTGGTAGGAAAGGAGAATGGTCATGGTATCCATGTCTTGCCTTTGGCTAGTGCCTTTCAGGCAATCAGCATGGACCGAGACAAAATTGATGCAGAAAAGAATGATACTTCTATCATCATTAAGTATGCATCATATTTGGAAAGTGCCAAACGAATCGCTGCTCTCCTTCCCAAGTTTCCATCTCGACGGAGGTTTCATGAAGATTTAGATCTTGACCTCCTCACTTTTAGAGTCTAACCATACTATCAAGAAATGATTCGAGTTCATAATAAAATTTATCTATTTTTCCTCACTTCAATGGAATATTCTCACAAAGCAAACGCAGAAAATTAAACTAGCTCAAAGCTCTCATGTTAGCAGACTTTCCAATTACCTGAAATCTCTTGCAGTGCCTGACAAATTGGTTGATACGTAATCCAATCTGGTCAAGACGTGTCTAATAATGGCCTTGCTTTGACTAGCAAAAACAAAGACAAACAAATCAAAATGATTTTTCATGGACAGGATTTAAATGGTAATACCAGTAAACTTTTAACTTATAATTATTACATATTTTTGTAACTAAAAGGAATGCTATATATGAACAATACATGGATTAATCTACAAATGAAAATAGCCTCCCCGAAATTTTCCCTTTGGATCACTGACAAAATTCATTTAAATTCTACAGCTAGCTACATAACTCAATTTTTGAATGCCTTGAAGGGTTTGTCTTAGATTGCAATGATGTATATTGCTCTTCAAATTAAAGCATACAACTGACCTCAGACCCATTGGCATCTAGCACTTGCAAAAAAGAGGATGGCTCAATTGACAAGGAGTATTAACTAACCGTATGTAGTCCTGGAGTTTGCAGTGAAGCAAAGTTGCCATCATGTATAAATTATGCAGAAATGTCAACTCTCTAGACCACAAGTATAAAGCCCCTAGTGATTGTGCAAAACAGTTTCATAAATAAAGATATACAGTTAAGCTTAACATATAAGAATGCTTTACAACATAGAATACCTCCATTTGTACCACAAAAGAAATTAAATAGAGAGAGACATAGAGAAGAAAAGGAACACCTCAAATTGAAATATTTCTCACGGACTAAGAATAAAACATTACCATGATTTCAAAGCAAATGACTGGCCATCAAAAGTTGTGGCTTCTCCTTGTCTACTTCAACCTCCTGAAGCTTCAGCTTTTATTTCTTCAACCCTCTTATCCCAAATATTATCTATTAGTTTCCAAGTTTCATCACTAATCATTTGAGTCTGTAGAAATAAAATGAAAAAGTTTTTTAAAAACTCAGCTGTATTGTCATAAATGAAAAACATGATCAAATAAAGTCTGGCCCACTTGCCTCTATGGGATGTGGTGCACCAAAAGTTGAAAAACCAGCATTTCCAGGTGCAAATGTAACCCTCCCTGGAAGTTTGATCTCATGGATTCCCCATCCCCCAGCATAAATTAGGGCTCCATATTCATCTAGTGGATTGACGGTAGGCTGTACAATGGTCAAAAGAATCAATCATGCAATCATCAAAAGTTATGGAAAAATTAAGAAATAAAACTGTGTGAAAAACTAAGAATAAAACTGAATATATATTGAAAAACTGCCCACAAAGAATTATACAAGCACCTTAGGTTTATACACAACTAACTAGTAGGTAAACTAGCAAACTAAATCATCTTAAAACTAATCTTATAATTAAGGGATTATCTATCCTAATTTTCTATCATTAATTCTAGGGATACAAATACTTAATTCTAAAGATACAAATATAAATATACAGATTAAAAAATTACGACCAGCTATAAACAAGTGTTTTCCTACACTCCCCATCAAGCTGATGAATAGGTGTTTTCCATTCCCAGCTTGGAAATAATTTCTATTCCCAGCTTGGAAATAATTTCTTGAAATGTTGCACTAATGAAACCTTTAGTCAAAATATCTATAAGTTGACCCTTAGTTGATACATAAGGCGTACAAATCAATCCACTATCTAGTTCCTCCTTCATAAAATGTCAGTCTACTTCAATGTGTTTTGTTCTGTCATGTTGCACAAGATTATGTGCAATGCTTATTGCAGATTTGTTATCACAATAAAGTCTCATTGGTCCAATTCACTTGATCTTCAAGTCTTCTAGGATAATCTTTAACCATAGTAGTTCACAAATTCCTTGAGCCATTGCTCTGAACTTTACTTCAGCACTTGATCTTGCCACCACATTCTGTTTTTACTTCTCCAAGTCACAAGATTACCACCTAGGAAAGTGTAGTAGCCTGAGTCCTAAGATGGATCTTCTATTCGTTATTGAACCTGCATAATTCGCATATGTATAGGCCTCTAGAACCAGCCCCAAATTTCTTTTGAATAAGATACCTCTCTCAAGATTGGCCTTCAAATAGTGCAATACACAGTAGATAGCTTGTAGGTGCACTTCTTTAGGACTATGCATAAATTGACTTATCACACTCACAGCATATGCTATATCAAGTCTAGCATGTAAGAGATAAATGAGTCTTCCAACTAATCTCCGGTACATCTCTCTATCTACAGTAGCATCTTCATTGGCTTTTTTAAGTTTATGATTAGGATCTGTAGGGGGTTTGGCAAGTTTACATGTGAGCTTCCTAGTTTCCTTCAAAAAATCCATCACATATTTCTATTGTGAGATAAAAATACCATGCCATGAGTAAGCTACATAAATTCCTAGGAATTACTTCAATCTCTCTAGCTCTTTTATCTCAAATTCTCTAGCCAAACACTATTGTAGAGATTCTCTTTTTTTTTCGTCATCTCCAATTACAATTATATCATCAACATACATTAATAGAACTGTGACTCTCCCTGAATCAAAATGCTTGATAAACAATGTGTGATCCCCTTGACTCTGCTTATATCTCATTGTTAGCATCACTTTAGCAAATCTCTTGAACTAAGCCCCAGGAGACTATTTAAGGCAATATAAAGCCTTTTTCAGCTTGCATACTTTGTTTGCTTCTAGATGACCTCCAAATCCTGGTGGAACCTTCATATATATTTCTTCCTCCAAATGACCATGAAGAAAAGCATTCTTTACATCAAATTGTTAAAGCTGCCAATTGTAATTTATAGCCAATGTAACAAAATCCTAGCTGTATTTATTTTGGCAACTAGAGCAAAAGTTTCTTGATAATCCATTCCATAAGTTTGAAGCTACCAACCTGGCTTAATACCTTTCAACAGTATCATCTGCCTTGTATTTTACAATGAAAACCCATTTACACCCAATTGGATTTTTTTTCTTTAGGCAACTCTACCAGTTCCCATGTCTTATTTTTCTCTAAGGCCTCCATTTCTATCTTCATGGCTTGCCTCCATTTCTCACTAGATAATGCCTAGGATAATGTAGTTGGAATAAAAATAGTGTTTAGGCTCACAAAGGAACTTTTTGTGGGATGGAGAAAATTTTTCAAATGACACAAAATTAGAGATTGGGTATAATGGATGCTTAGTACGTTCTCTGATTCCTTTCCTAATGGCAATAGGTAGATCATAATCACTAGTTATAATTTTAGGAGATTTATACTCATTTTGAGAAATAGAGTCAAAGACTGTAGTTACCTCATTTTCAAAGTTAAGATCAGGTTCTTGGATTTGCATTGGTTCAGGATTTGGAACTTTCCTTCCTGAATACACCTATAATTCCTTCATAGAATCAAGAACAATATTATGTTGTCACATTTTTTGTGTTTAGAATGGATTCAGACTCAAATTCAATGTTTGACTTGAACTCCAAAGAAACAGGTTTAGACTCAAAAGCATTAATAGGTGAAAATGTTGATAAGGAGGACAAGTCAAGCAAAAAAAAGTCTTTATCATTATCTTCCATGAATGAAGTCTCCTCCTGAAGATAAGGTTAAGTTAAAAATGGTTTACTTTCTTCAAAAGTGACATTTGTAGACACAATTTTTTTGTAAGAGGATGATAGTACTTATACAGTTTCTGAGTTGATGAATATCCCACAAAAATGCACTTAGTTTCTCTAGGATCCAGCTTCCCCCTGTCATGACTATGAGCATAAACAAATGATGTATTACCAAATTTTCTAAGTGTGAGGTTGTTTGTGGTATTAAAGTTGGGATAGATTTGTAAGAGTTATTCCATAAGAGTTTTAAATCCCAAAACTTTTGAAAGTAACCTATTTATAATGTGTGTGGCAGTGAGAACAGCTTCCCCCTAGTAGGATTCGGGTACATTTGCTTGAAAAACAGTAAGCTCGACGTTGTGGCTAGTACATGGCGGTTCTTCCTCTCCTACCCCTCCATTCTTGTTATGCAGTATTAACACAAGATGACTATGATAATCCCTTCCTTTTGGAGCTAAGTAAGATAAATTTTTGGTTGAAATAGTCTCTTGGCATTATCAAACTAAATGCTTTGATTTTCACTCAAATTGATTTTTGGATCATGTTTTTGGAAAGCTTAAAAACACACTATTCACATCTGATTTGGATTTAAATAAAAATATCCAAAGGACCCTAGTACAATCATTTATGAAAGAAACAAACCACTTTGCACCAGAAATATTAGGAATTGTAGAGGGACCCCATATGTCACTGTGAATTAAGTAAAAAGGAGTAGAACTTCTTTTATTGCTAACTGGAAAAGAAACACATCTATGCTTTGCAAGTTCACAAACATCACAATGAAAAATTTTGGCATTTAATCCTTTGAACAAAGAAGGAAACATGTCTTTCAAAATTCTAAAAGACGGATGTCCAAGACAAAAATGATAAAACCAGATTTTGTCTATATTAGGTGATTTTTCTGAAAGAAATGACAAAGAAAAACTATCATTGATATTACTTGTGTTGTTTGATGTTTCAAGATAGTACAGTCCATCTTTTTCCTTAGCAAGTCCAATCCTCTTCCTCGAACTCTGGTCTTGAAATTCACAATGGAAAGGATAAAAAGTCACTTTGCAGTTCATGTCTCAACTAAGTTTGTGTAGATATCAGATTAGTAGACAATCCAAGAATATGAAGAACATTTTTAAGAACAAATGAGGGATTAATTTGAACATCTCCTAATCTTGCCACTATAGTAAGTGAACCATCTACAACAACAATTTTCTTATTACCAGAACACAAGGTATATGTACTAAATTTTTGTGAGGAATGTGTCATATTGTCTTTGGCTTCCTAAGTTCAATGACCTAAGAACTCATAATAAGCTTTAACTAAGAAATTAAATCCATGAGACTAGAAGGCTTTACTTGAACTAGAAACCTTACCAAAGAACATACCCAATAGGCTTTTCAAGAGTTTCAATAGGCCTTTTAGTTTTTCCAATCCTCTTC